AAATAGTACGTACAACAGATCCTAGAAAACACACTAAAATTCTCGAGATTAAAACTTCAGCTCTCTATTTTGTTTTCTCGAAATCTGTGTTAATCTTGAGTCTTGAGTATGGTATTTATAGACTTGCCAAGCTTCCACTCTTCAGCCCATGATCTGCAAGAAAACCAACCACAAGAGCACTTAAGATAATGGGTTAGTGGGTTAGTTAGGAAGTTAAGATAAATCCCATAATTAAATCCACTAAGCCCTACTTAACCCTACTAAGCCCACTAACTAAGATTTAGTTTAGAAATTAAGAAAAGTTAAAAACACATTGTGAATTTAATTCACGTGTTTCAAACTCCCCCTTTTTAACTTTCTGATCAAAACTAAATCTTAGTCAAAGACTCCCCCTGAGATATTGCTTGAACTCCCCCTGAATTTGATACCATTTGAAAAACATAGAAACAATAAATTAAAACCAAATTCAGCAAGATAGTCCAACAAAAGAAATAATCAAAGTGCAGTCCTAAACAAAAGTTCAGAGGGAAAATAAACAAAACACAAACAAAATAAAATATTGTTCATGAAAACAATCTAAAGTAAGATATCCAAAGTCTCCAAGGTCTCCTCAGTTTCAGCTGCTGCTGCTGCTTCACCTCCATCACTAGATCCACTGCTTTCTTCTTGAGCTTCCTCCTCTTTCTTTGCTTCCTCTTCAGTGACTCCTTGCTCTCTGCCTCTAGCATCCAAAGGATGAGATGTTCCTGCTTCAGTTTCATGATCTTTTTCTCCCCCTTTTTGATCAGAAAGAGCCTTCTGAATCATCTCCACCATGGACTGATGATAGGTAATCTGAGCTAGGGAATGAGTAAGCTGCTGCAATAGGAGATCTCTAGGAACAGACACAAGAAGGTTAGAAGTGTTGTCAACATGAGGTGCAACACTCTCAGTACCAATGTTATTTCGACCTGATTCAGTTGAGAGAAAATCATCTCCATTCCAGGGAAGATCTTGAACATGAGGAGCCCTCAGAAAATTTTGAGACACAGTGATCATGCCTTGTGGAGTGTGAAGATATTCTGAGTCATCTTGGCCCAAGTTTTGAGAAAGTAAGATGGAATAGATGAGAGAAGGATAGGGAAGGTGAGTGGAGGGTGAAATTTTCTGGGCAAGATGACCAATAGTATCAAAGAACAGTTTGCCAAAATCCACTGGTAAACCCATCCCCAATTTGTACATGAGTACAGCATGAGGCTTAGTTACTACAGAGACATTTTTGGATGGAATCCAATTAGCCACTGTGAGTCTAAACAGGACAGAGTAGAAAGCAGTGAGTTGAGAGACTTGAAATTTTCTTGGGTGTGCAGGCCAATTTCTTAAACGGTTTCCAGAAATAACTTTGCAAATTTCAGTAAAATCACCATAGTTATCCTCATCAATCACAGTAGGAGTTTGTAAATGAGAGTTGATAACTTTGGGAGAAAAAGAATAAATGGCATTACGCACAAAAACTTTGCCAAAGTTTGGAGAGTTTTTCTTTAAAAAGGAGGTTTGCAAATTGGCATAAAACTCTTTCACAACCAAGGGATCATAAGGGCAGGCAATCTCAACTAGGTTAAGGATTTTTCTTTGGTGAAGAAAAGCTGTTATCCTATGCTTATCAAATTCTTCCTTAGAAATTTTCTTCTCCTCAATGAAATGACAATTCATGACTTGAGGACTCAACAGTGAATCAGACTCAAAATAGAAATTAGTACTGAAAGCATTTGTTACCTCAAAAGGAGTTGACAAGTTCTTCCCATCCTGGTCTGGTTCTTCTTCTTCTGAGGAATCATCATCTTCTGAATCTTCAAGCTCATCAGGAACATATGCTGGTTCAGGTGATGCAGCACGTGGGGCAACACCTTCTTCCTGCTGAGAAGAGTCTTCAGAGGATTCACTTTCGGAATCAGAAGAGGACAAGTTTTTGCGAAAAGTAGCTAGTGGAACCTCCCAACTGTCTTCACTTTTCTCTGATTGTTCAGCCTGAGGAGGAATTGTATCTGCTTGAGCTGCTGCTTCTGCCAGGGTTTCCAGAGGATCTCCCTGAGGTGCTGATGGAGTTTCTTCTGTAGTGGTGAACTCCTGAGTATCGACAAATGGAATGTCTA